ATGGGATCTTTCTGTACCCCCCTCTACTGAGTGACGCATCATCTCTTTTAACCAATAAAATAGCATATTTTTTGTTTTTCTTCACAAGTTGAAGTGAGATAAGGATGCATGTCATTGAATTTTCTAAACAGTTCGCTTGTTTATCAAGGATAATGAAAGTATTGTCAAAATAACGTTTAAACATATCCAGATTATAGAAGACATCTTTCAGGAATCCAGTCTCAAGTTTAGCAGGGAGGTAAATCATGTAGTATTGGGCCTAATGGTGAACCAATGGTAGTTTCATCAATTTGTCTGTAATATATATCATTCAAGAGAAAATGCACATTCAAGATGCATCGTGGAAGTAATTGCTTGAGAATATCTTTTGGTAATCCAACATGAATTTATGTTTCTGATATCTGTTGACAAATGAACTCTACTGTTTCAAGAAGTGGTACATTCTTGAATTAAATGCATTACTGAGTAGTAATAACTATCCTCCTAACTTTGTTTGTAAGATCACCTAAAGTCATAAAAAAAGCAGTGATCATGCGGATACATGTAAGAAAGGGGCAACACAAATTCACTTCGAATTCTTGACAAGAAATATATTTAGAGATAACCTTTGTCAATTAAAGGATTCTGCTCATTTCGTTGGACAAAAAATAATTTCATCTACAAAATCTCAGGCAACATCTTTGACCTCATGTGCACAGGTCTAGAAAGTTGAATGCAGTCAGTCAAGTTGCGATAATATCGGAAATTACCCAGGTTTTGATTATTAGACTGTGCTTGGATAAGCAGACAGAGAGGAAGCTAAGCTATTGCTCTGTGCTTACTGAAACGTCATCATTGAGTGAAGTAGTTTAGAGTAGCGATCCCAAAAACCCTAACGGTTCCCCATAGGGGAGGAGCATCTGCCTTAGTTGCTAAGACGAGCAAAATTAAAGGAAGTACGAAGCTCACTCTTATGGTATGTAACCGGCAGTAGTCGTACAACAGGCACGACCAAAGTGCTTACCATTATACAACCAAATCAAATGGAATTTTAACTTATCCTTAACAGACAGATTAAGGTTCACGAGTTTTAGTGACAGACCTAGTTCGTTTAATCGAAAAATTTCATATACCTTATACCATTACCTTGACGAACTAAATAACTTTATCCTACTTCCCCCAACCCATGAAATATCACAGTCATAGTCTATTGTAATCGGCAGGCATCTGTTTTCACTCCTGAGGTTGTGGATAGGCACTTCTGAGAGATTTGATACTCAGAAGAAGCAGTTGTCCACTCCTTTCAACATTGTAATGGCTTTCCAACTGATATCGGCTCGTGACGGAAACTATTTGAAGAGCAACTGATCCCTCCAAACTATTGTATGTAATGATTTTATTCCTTAAATAGTTTTCCCTATTCTTATGCCTCACTGTTTATCCGTGTAACGTATTTATTTGATCCAAATGAGTTTCTAATACATTTTGTTTACATTACTATCCTTGTAGATTCCAATTTAGCATACCTGTGATACAGCTATTAGTTAGGAACAGCGAAACGTCAGTAAAACAACCTTACTTAGTTTTCCATTCATTGGAAAACACAAGTGCCAGAATAATGAATTTTTTTACCCAGCGCTCATGATTTTATAAACCATCAAATCCTAACTTGAGTTGGATAGTCTATAGTCAGTCAGTATAATTACTACAAGATGTCCTCCTTACTAAAGAATATATCGCTGTATGAAAAAGGACGTACCCGGAATGGGTATATAGAAAGGACAATCCATCCATCTGCATAACTTTACACCTGCATGCGGTAAAAGAAATCTGGTTAAGTATCTTAATCACTGAATACGATGCATATGTTCCAATAACGCGGTAGATGAAGGAAAGGAGAAAAAGAGGAAGACTACTCGAAATCCCTTTTCCAAGCAATTTTGTAAAGTTTTGCAGTAAAGTATAGACAAATATTGTAGGAAAAGCTTCTTTCTCAGATTACAGTTTGAATAGAATATAGCCAGTAATATAATAATACATCAATTGAGTAAGTCTATTGAGGTTACTTTTAATGTGAGCAAATTGTATGTCAGTTTTTTCATCAAGCCAGCACTGACATAATACATTCGGGAAAAATTAACAGTGGTAACCAATTCAATATTTATATACCAATCGGACTGCCCTTGTGGAAGTAGTTACACAGGCTGCCCTCAGAGGGCTGTGGCAATATGCACTAATGAATTTGTAGCAGCTTGGTTTGAAAAAAGAGTCACTAAGTCAATTAGTAGCACCATTCTGTCTCACTTGGTAATGAGTAACATCGAATGAGAACAGATTACGGCGAGCTGGTAATGTACCAAGTGCCGAATAATGTAAATCTATTCCCCCTTTTCCTCTAAAAGAAACTTTTATGATAGGCTTTCTATAATAAATAACAGGTCATTCAGCAACTGTTCGTCAAAATAAATTCTGTGTAAATAACTTTTCTTTCATGATTGCTGACCACATGTGGGAGAAAAGATGGTGAACAACATGTAAAATATAATTAGACATCAACAAGGAGGATGAAGTAGTGAAATTACGACATCTGGCAAAGTTGCACAGAACACTTAATTTTAGATAATGACCTTGACTACTTTCTTAAAATAATGAGAAAGGTTATGTTTTATAACTAAGTTATGTCCTGCAGGTTGAAAATCAAGACAAAGCAAACGTTCTTAGACATATGATATATTTCTCTCACTCTTCACTTTTTGTATTTCCTAAAATCTACTACCCACTGTGAATGTCATTAAAAAGGAATGAAGAATGATGACTAATTTAGTCGTGAATATGATTCATCGTTTAGTGCATAAATGAAATATTATCGAAATAGCTAACAAACAAAAAAATTATGCATGTAGCTAAACGATAAAAATCTTTTGCTTCATAACAACGGAGTATAATATCTCACCCTTTGCTTCAGGGAATGCGAGGTGAGCGCTAACGAAACCCATCAGTTTAAAAGCGTTTAATCATCACCAAAGAACATTATTTGGACAAATTTTGAGAACATTGGAGCGTTTGGTGACTGTTACGTCTTATTTGGGACTTCTGAAATGTGCACACCCATGATCTCCTGAAGTACCGAGTCCAGGACAGCCAAGTCTCTTAGCAAGTACGTTACTACTGAGCTACTTGGTTCGAATTTAGTGGTCAATATTTCCCTACTTTTGTAATTCGGTGTACTGTGCAATCACCGAGAAATGTCACAAGTGGGTATTTGTCCCCACACCCGACTTGGATCTCCTCATGGCTCATGGCTTCTCATTGAAACTCTGGTAAATTCATTTATGATATATTAATCAGCATTTAACAGAAACTGGAGTGGTTCAGTGTTACTTATTTGGTGGTGATTCGAAGTTTAGCGGATGGCTTTGATGTTCGAAACCACCGGTGTTGGGTTCAGTTTTTAATGGGAACAGTAACATACTAGAATGTATGTGACGGAAGTGATGAGTCTTGAGTAGGATGAAGTGCTGTTTTCTTCTTCCATCGCTGAACAAACTTAGACATATAACGATGAAGTGGGACTTATGATAATAATATACATAAACACTCACTAGCCTCTCCTTGAGATCGTACTTATTTTCACAACTTGGATGGAGTTAGAAGTTGATTGATATGTCCAAATGTAAACTGTTTCTTTCCAAATTATTAAATAGCGGATATGTTACTGATGTGCTGGCCAGATGTTCAGTTTCATTGGGTATAGTTTTCATTCTTATTTAACAAGGTAATATCTTATAGGAGGACTTTATATATATATATCGTCTCATTTGTACTGGATTTACATTAATCAAAATATTCCTATTAAAGCTTATTTTAGCCACTTACTTGGTAGCTCTATCTTGTAACCCTTTTTCAATTTATTCTCTCAAAATACTTATCAGCAATATAGGATCCACGTTAATTGGCCTCTGGATGATGACCAGTAGACAACTAACGTCTAACATATAATTTAAAACAACTTCATATCAGTTCAAGTTGCTAGACTTTACATCAGTAAAGTAAGAGGAAAATAAAAAGTGAGAATGTTTTACGTTCGATGTCAGAAACAATGTACCAGAGGAGGGGGTGATAAACAGAATATAAGATACTCAGTAATAAAGTGAAAACAATTTCAGTCAAGATAAGTCATAAGTGCATCCGTGCTTCTGAGATCGGCGCCGTCAGATCATATGAATATGAGCAGTCAGTTCAGCTCGAAACATCATCTAGCAAATACTACTGTGTCACTGTATGTTAATCAGTCAAATAAACAATCTAATATGAAATATTGGAAAAGGGTTTTTATTCTCATAAAAAAGAGTAACCTCCGAAGCCTGCAGATTTTAACATCAAATGCGATAAACAGAAGGGACACAATAGGCTTGTCACCTATTTAGTAAACAGTGATTTGAAAAAATCACTAATGATAACCTTTTCTCATTGAATCTTCAATAACAATAACAATGACAATTACGAAGTTCTAATGAGAAGCCGTGACCTGTGGGGCCAATTACTAGGAAGGGAAGCGAACACTAACTGAAGACCTTGGATGATAGTTGCGCTATATCGTGAATTGACAGAAGTAGGAAACTGTGAGACATTGGAAACCGACAAAGTGGCTGAATAGTTACAGCGTTCACCGTGTAACCCGAAGGTCCTCAGTTCGATCCCTAGCCTGGTCGTGGGTGCTTACTGCCAAGGAGTCACATACTAGGAAGAAACAGCTGTCTCATATTTTCAATGGCTTCTCAACTGATGTTAGTCCGTGATGAATTAAAGTGTCCATTCATCTTAGAAATAAATTACTGACTTTTCATAAATAAACTAGTGTTCCCATAAAAGTACAGGAACTAACACGTATTCTACAGCAACATAGATACACACACTGACTATCCTACATTTTCCGTTGACAAAGGGAATGACAAGTTTGGGCTTGAGATGACCTAATCATAGTTTCTCAGTGTGAACAACAAACCCTACAACCAGTGAATTATGTACATTCAATAGTTGATCTACATTCTAACTACATATTTTGATGTTCATAAAAATGCCGCATAACCGTAAAAAGCCGTGGTTTATACAGCGAAACGCCTTTCCATTTTCTAAACATGTTGGGATTATATTAAAATATGCTTTTATACGGATTTCAGTAGCTGTTAAGATAGCCTTTTGTGATATTTTGATCTGTCCAGTGTACGCACTGTCGCATGCATTGTTGAAATCCGATTTGTTATTACTGTATAGATAACAGTGAGTAACATCATTATATTCGTGTATATAAACCCTTGACTGAACTACTTGAACTACCTTAGCTCTGGGAATTATGTAAACTATCTCAGAGCTTGAAATATGCGAAAATGCAAATAGGATTCGTTTTCTTGTTCTGCGGGGTTGACAGTCCAAGTCAGATATTACTAATTCTGAATTTCAGTGTATAATCTTGTTTTGTAAATAGTCTAGACAGTGCAACAAAGCAGCTGATAGATAAATGAGATGTTAGAATTAATGTAACTGTAGGGGATCAGTAGCATAGTTGGTCACGTTTCAAACACTTTTCAGTAATACGGGTTGTAGCGGCAACACCAGCAGCCAGCGAATCACTTACCTGTTGATCAGACGTATTTCAAATAGAATAAAGAATGTAGTGAATGAAGAAAAAAATATTTTCCTAGTTATTGGTGCTACACTCCTGATCACCTTCACAATCACTTATCGCTTGCTTACTGAGATAGGAATTAGATAACTGAAAGAAAAGGAACAGAAACTTCCCGTTATCTTCTTAAACTTGAGATGTATGAACGACACTAGTCTGAATTGTTTGACCAGTAGTAGGTGTTTTCAAATAAATCCCGAAAATAATTCACCGTGTTTCCAACTACCGTATTAACTATTAATTTGTATCAATTTATTTGCTTTGACAAAGTTAAAAAGACTGTTTTGAAAAAAATTGAGCATTGGGTAAATGATATTCATCATTTTAGTATTTTGTATTTCCCAGTGAATATCTTTCATATTTTAATTTTGTTTGTTTCCCAGAAGAAGCTCGAGTCGAGTTCCCGTACGAAACTTTGGAATTATTTCATTTCATACACGCTATGACCTACACAGAGATAAACTGTATCTAATATTAACATCTTACCCAGCACTAAATATCTATAACACTTGGTTGTTTTGTGAACTGGATAGTTTAATCTTGAAGTTTTCATTGTCTTTTTAGACATCATTAGCACTCACTTCAATATTGAAGATCACCCAGCTGAGCTAAAAATATTCTCCACCGTTTCAAAATCATACTGGTGTAACACGCTTCGCGTTAATCAAAGATAGGAGAATTTCTCCAAGAGGCAAGTTTCCAAAAGATGACAACTATTCTTTCTCCATGAGTGCCTCTGTCAGCGTATTCTGTTTAAGAGTATCAGATATAGATCACCGATTTGTAATACTATTCAGTCAATTCCTAATCATCGTTCATATAAAAAATTTGTTTTAACTAGTGTTTAGCTGTTTAAGGCAAATAAATAGTTTATCAAAATAAATAGACTGCCATTTTCTCAAGTGGCATGAAAGTGCTCAATATAATCAGTAATCTATGTGCGCAAATCGGCAAAAGATTGACTGAGACAAAAAACATAAATATAACTGGAAAAACCATATAATGAGTTGATGAATTTCAAAAAAGTTTCATCAAGAACTGATATTAACTACAGATTTTATGGAAACGTACCAGGACTCGACAACTGTTTCGTCCTAGTTCGGTAATCTTTAACAGTGTGCATTCACGACCTACTTCTATAAATAGTTTTTATAACAAACGTTCATGAATACTTAAAAAAATAAAAAATGAAGTCCAATATGAAATTAACTTACCTGGATCATGTACTTTAACTAAGACAAAATCTTTGATGTAATTTGCTTCACCACGTTGCAAATGCCGTTGTAATATGCGTCTAGAACCAATTTTCACCTGTTTCAGATCATTACCCATTGAACCGGTTGAATCGAATACGATAGCCAAGGAAATAGCGGAAATCGGTGTTGGCTCTTGTACATTTAACAGCGTTAAATTAAATTGTTTATCCGGTATGTTCACAAGACCAGGTGTTAATAATCCATATTCTCCTGCTCCCTGCAAAAATTGATCTGAATAGTCTCCATAATTTATTACGGATTGTTGACAAGATACAATATTCTTGTTAGTACAAGCAAAGAGAAATGTTAGAAGAAATGCAAGTGTTAAAAGTCCCCAATTATTAAATTTCATCATTTTACCGCAAAGTTAAAAATAATATTTGAAGTTTATCTTTTCAAAAACCACGTATGATGTATTCACGCTGAATTCATAGTATCACTAATTCAGTTTGTTGACTAAGACTTATTTTCTCTTCAGTTTATATATTCGAATGTCATGCTGTTGCTTTCAGCCAATCTGGACTCTAGGCCTCGAAAAATTCTCCCATAAGTTATACCTGTTTATTATCAACTATGACTATTTCAGAGGTTAGGTTACTTTGTTCCTCTGGTCACAAATACGTACAGTCTGTATGGTAAATGGGCTTATAGAAGTTTGTGGGTGTGTGCGGTGCGACCAGAATATGTTACTAGGCTGACTAACACTGGCTGTTGTGTGTAATGTGAATTAAAGGAGTTAAAATCAATGTGTTTCAGAGATCTACAATATGTATACATGTGTGTGAAACAGAGGCAGATGGAAAAATTAACAGAAATGTACATCTAGAAAACATGTAGAAAAAAAGTGTTTTCAAGTAAGAGAGTGTATCGAAAGCTTTTATTGGCATTTGGTTATCAAATCAATAAATGTGTGAAGTTACTAACTGATGTGTAATTTCTGGAGGGAAAAAGGAACCGGTCAAGCAAGTTTTTTCACTCTTCATTCGAATAATAATTCAGAAAATAATAACCAAGGTAAAAGGAGTAAATGAGTTGGTTAGGAAAAATTAGCTCACTAAAAGATAGCACCACAGTAGATAGACGAAAGGTCTTCCTTGAAGAGGACTGGTTAAAGTCATCATGAAGTTTGACAGTGAATCACGGGAAAAAACAGTGGACTAATGCAAAAGAAAAGAAAATTAGGAGTTAATCAAGGTTGTCCAGCTAAATCAGTTTGTGCACAAATTTTCCTTTACGAATTTAAAAAGAGAAAGAACAACAGTGGGAGCAGAAGATTATTTCACTGGATATTCTGCAACATTTCGTCCCCAAGCGATATCTTCCTACTGTGTCATTCAAATCACTGAATCACTTGATGATGATGATGGGTTGCAGAATATCTAGAGAAATAACTCGCTGTTCCTACTGCTGCTGCTGCTCGTTTAAATCAGTTTATTTGTACAGGTAAATCCTTAGAAAACGTTTGCATGGACTATTACAACAATAACTAACCGTAATACTCAGTGAAATACTTCTTTATGGTATTCTTAATTTTCTGAATCAGCCAGGTCGAAAGACAAGAAGAATGATTAATGATTAGACCTAATTTTGGTTTTGTCATGTTGCCAGGTGACCAACATTGACAAATTGAAACCACTTGGTTCCATCTCATTGATTTAAAGGTAACTTGCTGAGTTTTTGCATGTGGTCTTATGAATTGGCACTGTCAGTGAGTAAGAACTCAGCGCAGGTGTCAGTTGAATGCATTCTTTTCTTCAATAGATTTCCGTTGATGGCAGTTTATATTGACCATCATCCTGGAATCATTTTCCTACAAACTATCCAGTTGCATAAACCATACTTTTATCACCGATTTCACGTCAAGGTCAACAATTGTCTACAATTTCTCAAACGTTGAAGTAGGTTTATAAGTGACTTTAAAGGACACCCTAGCAACAACTTAAATAATCAATTAAACTTCTCCATTTTATGAAAATCCGCCTTCCCAGTAGAAATGAAGAAATCTAATTAGTTATTCCAGTCGTTGCTAGGGTGGTCTTTACAGTCCCCCTGTTTTATAGTATTTGTATCGATCATATATGATAAGATTTACTTGAAACGTGATTCTATTCAACGTTATCGCAAAACAACTTTTACTCGGATTTATTTGAACAGGAGTTTGAAATTTGATATATTCATTGCCGACTTGGGAAGAACTATGTTAGCTCCAACTATTAGTCTAATTACAATGTATGGCAGGTACGTTTGTTTCATGTGATGATATGGATGATATGTCACAAAATTGCTGGGAATATTTAATAAGTCAAATGTGAATATTAAGTTTACCATGGAACATGAGACAAATAATGGTATTCATTTTTCGAACTTAGGACTGATGAAGAAAAGATGGGTCGTTTCAGATATCTGTTCACAGAAAAGAAACATAGAGTGGACAGTATCTATGTTTTAATACTTTCTGCCCTATGAGATATAAGCAAGGACTAGTCGAAAGGCTATTTCATAGGGCTGGGAAACCTTATTCATCGATAAAACTGGCTGAAGAAATCTAGTTCATCGACTGATATCTGAAAAGAAACGGTTAGCAGCAAAGATTTATAGATAAATCTCTCTCTAACTCCAGAAAAGACTCACAGTTTCGTGGTTGTGTTGTGTTCGCTGAGCTGGGTCATTCAGTCGTGTAGCTTTCATTGTCTTTCTAGACGACATCGTCAGCGTTAACTTCAATATAAGCTGTTAGTATCATTCCATGAGTGATTCTGTAGCTTCCCCCGACTAACTGGTTTGCGATTGGTTGTTTCCTTTGATTGTCTTGGCATTAACTACATAGAGTTTCTTGTTGGCTGTTCGTCTGATTGACCTGTGACCTCTCAGAGGTCACGGTTAATGTCTACTGATGAAGTTAGATAACGATTTTCCTACATCATAAATCGCCTGAGGTTGTAAATTCTGAACCACTAAATCTCAGCTCAATGGTTGAATATTTAAATAATTTCGACTCTATTCTGTGTAGTGTTGATGAACCTCAAACTTGGTTGAAACAATTCATGAGTGTTCACTGCATTTCACTAGTTTCCTAACTGATATAAGTTCAACAGGAAATTCGTCTTTAAAATCTTTTGTTTAGAGAAGACTGCCAAGCTAAACAATTTGTGATATTCTTTCAGATTTCTATATTATCAGTTAATCTTTTATGATATAAGAGAAAATGATGAATGTTTCCTTTAATTTTTTTTGATGATCTTATAACCAGTTCATTATTAATTATGTGTACAAGACACAGGTAACGTTCCAACAGTTTCTTCGAATGAATCACACAAATGACATATTACTGTATATTTACATTGAACAGACACCCCAACTCGAACACCACTAAAATACACCCATGTGTATAACTCTGTGATGAACAACTATTGAATAGTTTTTTTTATTATTCCCCTTATATAACCTTGTTTCCTGAATCCATGTTAGAATTCTACAAAGTAATATGCATAGTTGTGTGTGCTTCCATGATAAGATGCCGTGAAAATTTTCCCTACAGCCATTAGATTAATCTGTTGTGGGTCGAATAAAAAATATTTTCTTCTCGTATATAAGAAGTCCAAATTTTTTGAATTTATGTAATAAACAAGTGAACATTTCACCTCACATGATATTCTCTTGAAGTGCCTACCTGTGACCTAGTATTAGCGTACCCATTGAAATGGGAAACCCAACACTTATCACTTCAAGCATCAAAGTTACAACTTTACAATGTAGCAACAACTACATCTTTTACAGTGGGTATAAACTAAGGATCAAATGTTGGCTAATATGTAGAAATTACGCCAACTGCTAGAATGAAAGTATATCCTGGTAACCAATTATACTCAAATATGACAAAACATGTTTTTATTATATTTATTAGTCCCTTGGGTTCCTAGTGGAACATAGGGCTTCAGTAGCACGTCTCCAGTGCGCTCTGTTCTCTGAGGTCTTTTGAACCTGGTTCCACGACAGCCCACAACCTCTCATTTTCTCCTCGCACGATCTCCTCCATGTCACCCTCGGACGTCCAACTCGTCGCTTCCCATGGGGATTCCACTCGAGGGCCTGACGCGTGATGTCCCCACTCAGCCTTCTCAGTGCATGCCCAATCCATCTCCACTTCCTTCCAGTGCATATTTGTTGCGTGATAGGTTCTTGGTTGGCTCGTTGCCAGAGCTCCTTGTTGCTTATTCCTATTATTCTGGCCATATGATCTTCAGTAGCGAGCCAACATAGGCAGTTGTTGATGAATGTCTGTAGTTTATTGGAAATGCCTTTCGTGACGCGCCAAGTCTTTGAACCATACAGAAGCACTGACTTGACGTTGGTGTTGAAAATCCGTATCTTGTTCCTCGTGCTGAGTGCAGAAGATTTCCACACTGGTTTCAGGCTAATGAACGCCTGTCTTGCTTTTCCGATTCTGACTTTGACGTCCTCGTCCGTCCCGCCTGTAGTTGAAATAGTGCTTCCTAGATAAGTGAAGGAGGTTACTTCCTTCAAGTTTCTCCCGTTGATAGTGATTGGAGTTTGTTGTTGTTGTTGGCGGTGCGGTATCTTCATCACTTCTGTCTTCTCTATATTCACCTGAAGTCCCGTCTTCGCTGCCTCTTCTATCAACTTGTTAGTTTTTGCCTGCAGATCTTTAAGTTTATGTGACATCAGACACAAGCCACCGGCGAAATCCAAGTCTTCTAGGTTCTTTTTCGCAGTCCAGTGTATCCCCCTCTTCTCGCTGCCTACTGTTTGTTGCATGATCCAGTCCACCACAATCAGGAATATCATGGGGATAGTAGGCAACCTTGTTTCACTCCTGTCTTCACTTCACTTCAGTGGCATCACTGAGCTTCCCATTGTGGATTACTTGGCATGTGGCATCTTCATATAGCTGTTGAATGAGGCGGATAAAGGTTTGCGGTACTCCGTAGTATTGAAGCAGTTTCCAAATTACTTGTCGGTCGACGCTGTCAAAGGCCTTCTCAAAGTCGATGAAGTTGAGGTATAGAGCTGATTGCCATTCTACGCTCTGTTCTATGATGATGCGAAGCACTGCAATTTGGTCCGTACATGATTTGTACTTCCTGAAGCCTGGACAAAACATGTTATATCATTATTATATTCTAGGCTCTAGTTACGCCATCGGTGACGTATTTTCGATGAAATTTGTTCTTCCTGATCGATACCTTTCCTGATAATGACCAACGAAACTTATTCATCTGAAATATACTACATTAGTGCTGTCAAATGTTTTGCAGAAATGTCTATAGTCTGCTTTCCTAATGAACCAAGAAAATGTTGTTTTGGTATTTATATTTCTCAATGAATGGAAAATAGGTTTGTACTGAAACTGCTTTTCATTTATATCATGCTTAATCTACCATAGCAGACGAAATGTTAAAATGACATCAACAACAATAACAACAAACAAAACCAGAAGGGTAAGAAAAAAGCAAACATTAACACATTAGGTTAAAAGAACAAGCTGTCTGGTTCATCAAAATAAAATCTTACTGTTCTTTTCCTTTACATATAAATAGATAGATGCTAAACACACAAATGGAATACGCAGAAAAAATGCTAAGAA